CTGAGGCGTAAGGATCGCCGGAGACCAGCAGGTCAAGGCTGCGGTGGCCGGGTGGCCACTGCACTCCAGTCTAGGCAACAGAGTGAGACTCCAACTCAAAAAAAAAAAGAATATGGCTCTGCAGTGCCTTAAATGTATATAACCTAATATGATGCGATATTGTATAGAATAAATATATTATTCTAAAGCTTAAAAGGATCTTTCAATTATACTTTATTGAGGGGAAGAGTATAAAGTTACAATTTTGTGCTTGCTCATAATACAGATGCTAATTTAAATATAACAATAGATTAAAATACTGTGATAACAATTTTGTTTTATTTTAAATTATGTAATATAAAACCCAACTTTCATCCAAATTTAGAAGGTAATGTGCGCATACAGTTGACCTTTCAACTGCATGGGTCTTTTATGCAGATTTAAAAAAATAAATGTAGTAACCCTCTGCATGGCCTATTCCTCATTTGCCACCAAACACAGATATAAAAAAATATAGTATTTACAGGATGTACAGGGCCAACTTTGTGTACAGGATGTACATCCTATGTAGGGCCAACTTTGTGTGTCTGCAGGTTACATAGAGCAGCCAGGGTACTTGAGTTTGGTACAGGCAGTCCTGGAACTAATCACCTGTGGATACCATTGGGTGACTGTATTATGGTAGCAAATAACAGCAATTTTTAATTTTTCTCTGTCTACTTTTGTGTATGTGGTCCCCCAAAATTAGGTTTCTGTCCTCAAAATGATCTAGTTTTGGAAGGGTTGTGTTCATTATATATGTACATATTGACTACTCATAATAATCTCAGTGTTCATATAATCATCTTCCTGATGCTAGATTTAAAGTACTTTTCTAAGACTGCATTTCCACCTGGCCAAAACTGAATGTAAATGGATACCAATACCTACTTTTAAGGTTAATGAGTTTTGAGAGTGTCTCCAATGGGAATGACAGTTCATGAAACATCATCAGTTTATCTTCTTTATTATGCTGGTTCAAAATTTTAGAGCTCCCTAAGGTAATTAAAGGCTCATAGAAATACGTTTTCCTGAGAAAACAAGTACTCTATGTGTTAGTTTCAGGTATGATTTTAAAACAAAAGAACAAATATACTCCTGTAGGAATGACTGCTGCAGATCAAGTTGGTGATACTTATATTGTTGCCTTAACTAAATCAACTAATCCACCTTTTATTTAGGGAGTAAGGTATGCATTTAGTAAAAACTTCATTCTCCTGAAAGAAAACTTAAAATCAGCCACTTTTCCTTCTCTGTCAAGTCTTCTGTTCCTTTCCATCTCGATCTTTATGTATTTATATATATATCTGTATCTCCCTATAAATATGCATAGTCTCTCTAAGTATGTTTAAACAGATAAAAATTTGTCCAGGTTAACATGTGTGCTTAACCAGTTTGACACCCTTCCTCCCCTTGAAACTCATGTAGGGGATGGGATAGGGAAGCCTTTGTTTTCTGTTTTGTGTTTTTTTTTTTGGAGTTGAAGCCTCACTCTGTCACCCAGACTGGGTACAGTGGCCGCTCCTGGCCACCACAGCCTCGACCTGCTGGGCTTCAGCAATCCTTCCGCCTCAGCCTTCCAGGTAGCTGGAACTACAGGCACGTGCTACCATGCCTGGGTAATTTTTTGATTTATTGTAGAGATGAGGTCTCACCAAGTTGCCCAGGCGGGTCTCGAACCCACGGGCTCAGGCAATCCACTCCCCTCAGCCTCCCAAAGCATAGGATTACAGGCTGAGCCACCGAGCCTGGCTAGCATTTGTTTTCTTACTGGGCTGTAAATTACTAGAAACCTGGACTAGTACATCATACTCTTCATAGTACTGGTACATTGATAGATTAGCATCTATGTGATAAAGGGCCTTGACCTCTTTCATTTGAAAAGTGCTTGGCACATAGTGGTTGCTGAAATGTTTATTGAATAAATTAATTGCCAGGAATTATTAGCAAATAGAAGTATATAGCAAGCTTACGTAAATGGCCAAATCTGACTCCTTGGGTCTCAATTTTTTAAACTCTTGTCATTTCTGTGGTTTCTTTTATTTATTCCTCTTTTCTTTAATTGTATACATGGCATGTGTTCATTGTTGAAAATTTAGAAAGTTTAAGCACAAAGAAGAAAAAATGCCTTATAATCATACTATCCCCAAATAACTTTATTTAAAGTTATATGCTTCTAATTTTATTTTATACAAAAATAATTATTTTTTCCTACTTTCATAAGGAAACATGGCCTCATGCTTTAGAAACGTATACACCTATAATCATATATGCATATTTTTTCTTCTAAAAACTGTTTCCACATCCCGTTTTTCTGTTTAGAGCTCTTGAAAATAGTTGTCATTACTTGCTATCTCTATTTCTCTCTTCCCATCATTCATTCTCTGTTAGCCACACACTAATCATACTCTCATATTCTCACCCTACCCCTTGCAGCTCTTTTTTGTTTGTTTTTAGAGTTGAGTCTCTGTTACTCAGGCTGGAGTGCAGTGGCACGATCATACCTATCTGCTGCCTCGAACTCCTTGCCTCAGCCTCCTCAATAGCTAGGACTGTAGGTACATGTCCAGTTAATTTTTCAAAAAATGTTTGTGGAGCCAGTTGGCTATGTTGCCCAGGCTGGTCTCAGACTCCCTGCCTCAAGTGATCCTCCTGCCTTGGCCTCCCAAAGCACTGGAATTACAGGCGTGAGCCACAACTCCTTAGCTCACTTGGCCTCCTTAGCTCACATTTTACTTTATCGATTGGAACATTTGAAACCATATTACTTCCTCACTTTTTGCTCCTGGCTTTCCTCCTGCTTACTTTTGGCCCTTCTCAGCCTTCTTTACTGATTTCTCTCCATTTTGTATGTCACTAAATGTTGCAGTCTTTAGGACTCAGTTCTTGGACTTCTTATCCTTAGCCAGTCTCAGTCAGTCTCAGGGCTTTAAACACTAGTTGTACGCTAATGACTCTCAAATGTTATCTCTAGGTCAGACTTCTCCACTTAGATATATGATAGACATTTCAAACTCAGTATGTCCAGAATCATTCTCCTCATATGTACTACCCACAACAAACAAACAACTGCTTTTTTCCTAAGTCATTAAATGGCAGCCTGACAAGTTAGACCAAAAACCTTGAAGTCATTTGTACAGTTTGGGTTCTCTGGGAAGTAGACTAAGACAAAGATTAGCAAGCTGTAACTTTATTAGGAAATGCTCTTAGAATCAACAACTCCAGAAAGAAGAAAGATGTGGTTATCCCAAGTTGGAGCAAAGAGCCGTGAGACTAAATGATATGACTGGGGAAGTTAGTATAGATGAGGAGCCCAAGGACTGACCCCTAGAGAACTACAGTCAGCCCATTATTAGACAGAGGCTCCCTAGCAAGGGGACATGAGCTTGACTTTCTTCAGGCAAGGTTATTCCTCTGTGTCTGCAGCAGCCCCCATATCTGAGGAAGTCTTTTACTCCTGAAGAGGGATCTGGCCAGTGCATAACTGTGTCTTCTGCATCATTCGTAATTCCTCTTTTTCTCATATTTCATATTCAGTCCATCAAGCAAACGTTATTTAGCTTTCAAAATATATCCACTTTGACCCCCCTCTACCACCTCCTCTGCTGCCACCTTACTCCATGTCACTGTTATCTCTTGCCTGAATTACTGTCATGTTCTCAAGACTGGTCTCTTGCTTCCACCCTTGTACCTTTCTATTCTCCACACAGCAGTTAGTTATCCTTTCAAACAAAGTCAGATTGTGTTACCCCAATGCTCTGGCTTCTTCTCCCACTTCAAATAAAATCCTAAATTCTTTCCATTGTTTACAAGGCCCTCCAAATCTGTCCCCAGTTACTTCTCTAATTCTCCTCCCTTTGTTTTTGCCTCTCTGGCCACACTGAAACCTTTCAGTGCTGTTTCCCAGCCTCTCTTAGCTTGCCTGTCTGCTATTGAGATGTACTCCCTACTTTGTCAATTCCTCCCCTTCTTTCTCTGTCAGCCAGTCTAGTAGGCAAAACAGTATCTGCCATGTCAACATTAATGTCTTAGTCAAGGTTATCCGATGAGAAAAGTACTGCAGAGCTTACAAAAACTTCAAGCATTTGGCATCTACCAGTCTCTTTTGTTCCTTCACTTATATCTCAGAGAAATGAATGTGTTTTAAATGGGAAAAAAATGTTTATGTTTTTTAAGTATTCATCTTGGTCAGAATTTCTTGAAAAGAATTATTGTTTGGTGCTTCCCCTCCCCCCATAATTTTGAGTTGACGTCTAGTACAATGCATTACTCTTACTGAGCTGTGTGATGAGATTGAGGTCATACCACCTCATGCATGGAACTAATTATTTCTTGCTCTTTCTTTCTTTACAGAGCCTTTCATCCTACTATAAAGGAGGATTTGAACAGAAAATGAGTAGGCGAGAAGCTAGTCTTATTTTAGGTGTGAGGTAGGTGTGCCTCATACGTATTATTTTGTTCCGTGGCCAAGCTTGTCTAAAAAAGGAGAAAATGTTACAGCAAGGTTATACTTTCATATTTAAAACTATAACTAGGAGGCAGAGGAGAAAATTACTAAATTTTTACAGCCTCAAATCCCCCCCCCCCAAATCAGGTACGGTTGTGGCATATCTTCATTTTTTCGTTTCTTTCTTTTCTTTTTCTTTTTCTTTTTTTTTTGAGTCAAGTTCTCACTGTGTTGCCTAGGCTAGAGTACAGCGACACAATCACAGCTAACTGTAACCTCTACCTCCTGGGCTCATGGGGATCTTTCTGCCTTTACTTCATGAGTTGCTGGGACTACAGGCATGTGCCACTACACCCAGCTAATTTTTTTATTTTTTTGTAGAGACAGAATCTCACTATGTTGCTCAGGTTGGTCTCAAGCAGTCCTTCTACCTCGGCTTCCCAAAGTGCTAGGATTATAGACATGAACCACTATGCCTGACCTGCAACATAATAATCTTTTATAATATTAGTATTCACTAATATAGAACCTTTGTTCTTTTAAGGAGTTTATCTTTTTATAATAATTTTCTTTTGGAGAGTGATACAAAAATGCATTCACTCCTATTTTATATGCAATCCTAAGTATTATTTTAAGATACAAATCATAGTTTCAGCCCTTAAGTAATTTAGAATCTATCTAAGGAGACATGCCAAATATATGCAGAACAACTAGAAAACGTAACTAATAAAGGAAAGAAGAGCTATGGAACACCAAAAAAGAGGATGATGTAGATTAGCCACAGGAAATGGAATCATTATACTAGAATTTTTCAGAGTAACATGTTTTTCATTTCTTAGTAGGCAATTAAGCAATGTAATATTCATACCTCGATATGATGTTTAATAGTTACTTTCTCAAAATTCATTAGTCTTTGTCACCAGACAATGTTTGATTGTCTATCTGGTGGTTGCCTAACAATTCTAAAAGTAAGTTTGCAATGGTCCCCCAAAGACTTCTATAAATGGCCAAAAGGAATACCCTTAAGTTTGTACATTACTTATGGAAGACAGATAGCATTCTAGGTCCATGTAGTAGGAGGGCAAACCTCTGCAGACTTGGAGAGTTTTTGTATTTAATTGATAATCATCATAATGCTTGAATCATTCAAGTGATGTTAAATTAGGTTATTTGTACTTTATTTTTAAAAAACAAGAAGTATATAATACATTTTCATAAGCATCCTTTATATCCATATAACAACTACTATTTGAACACTAACTGTATGTTAGGTCATAGTAATTTTTTTACTTATATTATCTAATTTAGCTTTGAAACAATCCTGAGAGGCAGGTTTTATTATGTGCATTTTATATATGAGAAAAAATTTAAGTACGTGAGGCAAAGTTTTATAGCTAATAAGCAGTTTTGACCCTGTATCTGGATAACTAAAAGTACATGCTTTGGTCTCTACATTGTGGGTCATCCATGCACATTGAATTATTTTGAGCTTTACAACTACTGTCTATACTTTGTCAACTATTATTATACCCATTTGAGGTCCAGAAAAGTAAAGTAGCTTAGATAAGGGAGTATAGCTATTAAATAGCAACAGTAGTATTTAGTTGTTGTTAGTGGTGAATTTTTTCCTTTGCTAATGAGACACTTCTCCAATACTGAATAAAGTATGTTTTACCAAAATAATTTAATTTTCTACTTTAATTTTTGTTTACAGCATAGGCTCTAACAGTCAGGCTTTTCTCACAAAGCTAAATAAACTATGAGATGTTTTGAAATTCCTCTGTAAAGATAAAAATAAAAAATAACCATTATGGATGGGTTGCTACATGCCAGGCATTGTTCTAGCACTTTGTGGGCATTAACTCAGTTAATCCTTACAATTGCTCTATGAGGAATATGTTGTTCCTAGCCCTATTTTACATTGAGGAAACTGAAGCACAGAGAGGTTAACAAGTTTACACAATCCTAAATGGCAGTACTATGATTAAAATTCATCAGTCACTCTGAAGTCCGAATACTTGATTGCTTTCTATATATACTGCCTTCCCCTAAAATAAACTAGAAGCATAAGTTTTCAAGCTTACAATATAATCTGCATACTATGACTCCCTTAGCCTATAGGTTGTGTTTTATTTTTTAAATGGATTGAGAATAAAGACTGGCATTACAAAGGACCAAAGAAAAGCACATACAGCATTGGATCAATGATTTAGTTTGATGATTAGTAGAATTAAGTGAAAGCTGTAATTTCATATTTGTCCACAAGATGGTGAAATTCTCATTAGGTTTTAATTTCTTGAAACCCATATAAATTGTTAATTTAAAATCTTCATTTGGCGCTATTTATTATAAGCACTTTAATTTCTTTTTACAGCCCATCTGCTGGCAAGGCCAGGATTAGAACAGCTCATAGAAGAATCATGATTTTGAATCACCCAGATAAAGGTAGGTAAAAATTCTTATTTTTTCATAATATGTGGATCAGAATTGCCATGAATTCCTTTCAGTTTACTTAAGTTCATTATAAATGCTATATAGTTGAGACAGAAGTTTATGTGCCACAGGTATTATGATTTTTCTCATATATAGATGAGCCTTTAGAGTTCAGAGACTCACAAAAGTAGTGAATTTGTACTATTAGCTTTCAAAAACTTAGTTGCTTGTTTTTATATGTGACTACCCGAACCCGTTTGATGCTTCTACCATTTTGATCAAGAAAGGAAACATGAGTTGTGGATTTTTTGTTTGTATAAATTGATTGGGCATAATAAATTACATTTATTTGACCTTAAATACAAAAGTATAAGAGTTAGAAGATTTCCTCTAAATCTCTGAATGGAATATGTCATAGATGCTTCTAAATTTCTTAATTTTAGTCTGGAAGGCTCTGAAGCTGAGCCATTTGTTTTTAGCTGGCCAGGTTTTTAATGTAAATTTATCTTACAGAAAGACAATTATTATAACTTTAACTACACTACAGCTGCTTGAGAGAGAAAGCCCATATGTTCATTACTGTTTCTGCTTTAAAATAACAGATGGTAGAAAGTTGCACTGTATTTCAGAAGTCAAGGGAGGAAAATAGAGGATTTCTTGGATTTTTATTTACAGAATTTCAGTTTTCTAATTATTTCAAAAAAATTAAAAACAAATTTTGGATTCCTATCCATCCTAACCAAAACCAAAATAAGGCATTCTTTTTCAGCTTTCTCACTTAATTGCTTACTATAAAAATTCTTTTCACTAAACATCAGATCTCTGTTGGTTTTTGCACTTGCTATTCTTTAGTGTGAATAAACATGAGAATAAACTTTGAAAAGAGGTTTTGCTTAAAATTTCTAAGCAACTTCAACAGTTCCTGAAAGATCCACTCAACTAATTTACTTTGCATTGTAGGCTTTCAGAGTAATTGACTGAAAAAGCAATGTGTTGAAGTGCCTCCTTGAAGCCCTCTGTCTCCTAAGTGTTCCCTGTCCCTTCCAGGTCAAGTGAATGCCCTTCTGTGATTGCAGTAGGATCAAGTGCTCATGTCTTTCAGATGATTGATAAGTTGTTGACTGTGCCTGCTGGCAAGGAAGCAAGTTCTAAAATATATCTAAGAATGTGTATTTTTAGAAACTTTTAGTAAAAAAAAGAAAATGTATGTCTTATGAGTCAGTAGTGTTTAAAGAATTACTTGATTTACTCTGAGATGTTGTATTTATCGGAGGTAGGATTGTTGACTGCAGTGTACTTACTAATATCCTCCCATCTGGCCCTGTGTGGATTGCTCCTATGAAAGAACAGACCTGGGAGCAAGAGGCCAACATTTTTCTCTGACCTCTGCCTTCCAGCCAGCATTGTGGCATTGGACATTTCTATAGCCTCTCTAACTGTGAGTTTTATCATCTATAAAATGAAGGGATTTATTTCTAAAAAGTTTTTTGTTTACATGATTTAATAATCTTCTTTGCCTACAAAATTAATGCAGAGCCTGTACTCTGTGTTTCTATTCAGTTCACACTTTTAAGAAAGGCACTCCTATTTTTTTGTATTACTGTACCCTCTAAGAATATATTGATAACTGTGGACAACTTTTTCATCTAATTGTCCTTCATCCAAAATTTGAAAACATTTAGTTTTAGAGAGTTCCTGAACTTCCTAAAACCCATCCATATACTCATTGTTAAGAAACCCTGCTCTAGTGGAAATATAGTGAATTAAGAAATATGGAACGACTGGGTATAATGTGGTTGGGAGATGATAGCTCATAAATCTGAAAATTATCTTTTAAGAAGGAAGAGTGTTTTGTTTTTAATGAAGAATATAACAGGTTTTAAACAAAAATGTCTCATTGCCTTTGGAGAGAGAATGTCAGGAATATCTGGGGAAGTATGAGAATGGGTAACTCTTAATTTTGACTTCTTTTTTTTTTTAATCTTTCACCATATTTGTTTTGGCTGGGTCACCAATTGGTGTTTTAGGTAGTCGCATATACTTAAATTCCCTACCCAGTGCTTCTGAAATTCATGTTTCCCCACCCTCTCCAAGTAACTTTTCTGTTAGTTTTGCTACCAGCTGGTAAAATAGCTATGGAACTTCAAATGTGTGATCAAGTATAATTTGTTACACATTTCATTATCAGTCTGTGCAAAGAAAGTGGCACCAGAAAATTAGGTGTGGGTAATAGCTGAAAATAAATTTTTTGTAACAAGTTTTAAATGAGCATTCAGAGGTATTTTGGTAAGAAAGGAAATTTTGCTTTTTTAATTTAGTGATATAAAACATAAACAGTAAAAAGATCTTGGGTTCTTGATCCAAGTTTTTCAGGCTAATATCTTTTCTTAAGTTGCTAAAGAAAGAGGTTAGATGTAATGAAATCAGTAGTTTAATAGTGATGCTCAATTAATATTAGAAGGGGAAAGGATAGTCTAGGTAAATTTGAAAAACTAGAACCTCAGAGATTTTGTACAAGCTGTCTAAAGCAGTCCTACTCAAAGTGTAATTTGGTTATTCTTGCCAGACTGCCGTTTGCTATCTGTGCACAACTAGTTACAAACAGAAATCAAAAGTAAACATTTAGAAAACTGTACAACAATTTGACATTGCCATGACATCCAAATGTCCAATGCTTTTATTTTGTGTAAAAGTATTGATCCACTGCAGATTGGAAATTTTTTTTTAATGTACTTATTTGCCATAGTTTGAGAAACACTGATCTAATCAGTGCTGCCTGCTAAACTGGGCTTTCTGCTCCATTCTGGGGAAAATGTGCTGTTAGTTCTCTTTAAAGACATTTAATGGTGGACAGCTTCCTGTTTTATAACACAGCCAACTTAACGCTTAGGAAGCTGTAACTACTAGAAAGTTCTTACATTCAGATGAAATCTGCCTGCTTACAATGGAGAGATTCTCAACCTTTTTCTGTTTTTACCCCTTTAAATAAACATAGTATTCTCGCTTATCTTTTCTTCTTTAATGTAGTGTTTGAATCAAAATTAAATATTGGGATTAAAAACAAGCCAAAGAAATTATGCTGTTGAGTGGATTGTCTCAAATTACTCCCATCGTAACAGAAGCTAATTTTGACATGAATCCTTGGTAATAATATATTTATTACAGTACATTATTTGTAAAACATGAAAATATTTTACATGAAAAAGAAAGATGTGATCACTGAGAATCAACATGGATTCACTAAGAAAAAATGATTCCTAATTAGTCTGATTTCCCTTTTTGATAGATATACTAGACTACTTGTTTCAGGGGGCTTGTCTTTCTTTTCCTTTATTTGAACATTTTTAATTTAAGACTTTGTATTAGATGTAATTAATTTTTTGGTAAGGAGATTTTTTGTTTTATCATGCATTGATTTTCCTTGATAAATGGTAAGATCCTTAAAAGTAAAAAATATGGCTTATTTATCTTCATGACCTGTATGGCTGGCATATAATAAACTCTAAATAAGGGTTTTTTTGGATGAGTGTATGAATAAACAAATGGACAAAAAGTAGACAAATACAATTGCTGGGGAAACAGAATTAGGAGTGATAACTAATATGCCTAATAATCATGTCAAAATTTAAAAAGACATTAGATTGATATGAAACAACCTGAAACTATTATTTATTTCAAAATCATTTATTTGCATCTACTGTGTGCCAGGCATTGTGATAAATCTTAGGATTATAACTAAAACGAGGCAATTAGATCCCTGTCCTCATGGGGGCATATATTCTAAATGGAGGAGTAGACAAAAGACAGGTAAATCTGTTTCAAGTTGTAATGAGGCAATAAAGGACATAATGGACTGCACTATAGGATATGGAAGAGAGACAATTGGACATAAGAGTGACCAGGAACACGTCTGTGAGGAGACCTGCAGGGTGGGAAGAGGGGCAGGAAAGTAGGGGGTTTTGCATATGCCGAGGCTCTGAGGAAGGAGAGAACTTAGTGGGCATGAAAGAAACTAGTGTGATGGGAGTGTAACCGGAGAGAGGACAGGCAGCCTGAGATGAAATGGTGCCCAGATTTTGAAAACTAGGTATACACTGTGATAATGAAATAGTTTATGTTCTTTGTACTTTGTTTCTAAATGCCGAAGGAAGGAAAGTGATGTAATTCAATTTACCTTTAAGAAATTATTTTTCTTTTATCTTCAATCTCTATTTTTTTTTTGAGTTGGAGTCTCACTCTGTCGCCCAGACTGGAGTGCGGTGGCCGCTC